CAAAACACCTGTCAGCTGTTTCTCAGTTCACCTAATCTCACACTAGAAGTCTGCACCCTTTAGCAACACTTGTTCAAAACCTAAACTCTCAAAGACAGAATAAGAGAAAACAAACTATAAATAATTAAAATTCCTTTCATTTTCATCTTCTTCCAGAAGTTATAGGTTTTCGTTAAAGTATTAGAAATTTGCTGTTATAATGTGCTTCTCCACTCCAAAACTGGGGGCTGGACACTGTCTGGAAATTTTCTTTAGCTGCACTGAAACCAAAATTTCATCGTGGATCAGGTTCTTGGTATTTATGAGTAGTTACTCTCTTGGTTTTGATCCTTTCAAACTTCTCCATACCTCTAACCAACATTTAGGAAATGATGGAAAAAATTCCTGAAATACTTCTTCCTAATATGTTGTACTTTACCAACATTATTTTTGACACTCTTGACAGCGAGCCCAAACCCCTATGCTTGAATTTTGTAATCCTAAAAGGATACACGCACTCGGAGGTAAAAGTTCCAAATATTTTAAGTACACAATGTCCTGAGAGGGGCCCATCCCATCATCTTAGACACTCTAGACACTTATTTACCCTTCTCCCTCTATAATCTCAAGTCCTACAGTTAACTTAAGGAGAAAAAAACAAGGAGACAGACACACACAGTCACACAGAGCTCCTCCTCTGAGGGATAAGAACATCTACCACATATTGCTCCATGTTTACTTGATGGCAGCACAACAGCTAAGCCTGGAACCAGTCTCCCCAAATCATTAGGAGGTGTAGTATACAGAGCTACCAGTTTCAACTTAATCTTATTTTGACTGAATCTCCCTTTGAGTCCTGGAAGTACTCACAGAAATTGTGTGCTTACGTATGAGTATCTTTCTGGACTTAGTTAACATACTGAATCACAGTCCACTTTTAATTTAATTTATGGAGCTCCCATAAAAATCAGTTCTACACAGGTGACATCAGTAGAAACTTTAAAGAACTTAGACTCTCATCTTACCCCCTTTCCAACCTGGCTGTAGGATATCCAAGTTTCCATACAGTACACAAATGGTTAATAGCTGAAGATAGCTCCAGATATACAATTTCAAAGGCTAACAGATCAGATAATAGGGAACGCAAATCTTCCGGACAAAGTTCAGACTTACAGTGTTTTACAGTGTTTAGAGGCATTTTTTTAATTCTAAACAACCATTAGTTCGATGGAGTACTAAAAGGACTTACTGCCATTTTACCAATTCAGATGTCTGTGGCAACATAAAGTATTTTTACAGCACTGCTGAAGCTCACTCTCACACGAGGGTCACACCAGGTCCCTGCTTCTTGGGTGAAAGGCTGTAGAATGCCTCGACCACTACAGGAATCACTCTCTGAGGATTCCTAGGATCCCCACACTTCTACATGAAGCCTTCTAAGAGGGGAACTGGGTTTCCCCAAGTTGTTCTCTGGGGGAGAGACAGAGTAAAATAACAACCATGGCCTGCCTTCAGTTAAGTGATTTAAAAAATATATATAACTTCTGGGTAGACTTTTATTTGACTAGCATCATCAAATCAAAGGTTTAACTTCATCTCCCATCTCATTCAACTAACCCTGCCCAAGCTTTCCTTTTTCTGGGGCCAGCAAAAAAGAAACAGAAAAGTTATTTCATCACCCAGCATGGTAGAATATGGCACCATGAAATCTCCAGTGCCAGAGGGTAAAAGATTTTGTACTGAAACAAATTAGCATCAGTGAGTCATATCTTGAATGTCCTATTAGAAGAATCATCCATCAACATTTTAACAGGCATGGCTTTCACTTTCCACCAGGTTATCTGGAAAGCAAGCAGGTGTTAAATGTTTTAAAATATAAACTCAATAGGATGCTCCAGGAAACAAACAACGGAGTTTAACTCTCCATTTCCCCAGTGAAAATTACTTAAAACTAGAACTGAGTAAGTCTATTCATACCTTTCCATAGAAAAGACTGAAATATTCTCTTTACCCATTCAACTGTCCTCGGCTCTAAATTATAAGTTTTCCAACAATTTTCACTGCACACATTGCCAAGCCCAGGATCAAATATTAGCTTTCACACTTCTCCATCAGGTGGAAAAAAGATTTTAATAGCTGAAAAAAATTAAATAATATAAAATCTAATTAAAAAGTTGATTAATAAATGTTTGGCATTTGTTCTATCCAGGAAAAGAGTAACAAAAAGTATTCCAAAACATTTTTCAACTAGCTTTCCAAAAATTAGTTATGGGTTTTTCTTTTGCATAAAAAATTCTCCTTTTTTTCAATCTCCATTAAGTTTACAGATAGCAAGTTTAATATGGTAAATTTAAATCATTCATTATGTGAAAATCACTTCAGTGCCCCACTAATCCCATATTTTAAAATGACCACTTGAAAGCTTTTTCTAGAGAAGGCATTTGCCACCTTTACACCAACCTGGATGCCAACTGGTTATATATCATTTCTTTTTCAATGCATTTTTAAGTTGACAACACATTATCAAGCTCATCAAAGCACAATAAAACCATACTAGATCAGAATGAGAAAAGGGAGTTCTTGAGTTCTACAATTTTGAGTGTCTTCAATTTTAAGCAGCCTGAATATATTTCAACAACTACGTAAAAAATTACTCACAGTTAAAAGAATATACGTCTTAAAACAATAAACCAGCTCTACACAATAGGGTAATGTTTGAGTTATCCAATTCCCTATATTACATGCACAAGGATGGGCCCAGTGGCTGGGAGGCCTTTTTGAAAATTCTGCGTCCATTCTGGTTAGTTCCAAAAGGTCTCAAGCGCCCAAGCTACGCGTTTGGGATTTCACAAACTTATTCAAAGAAGGAAAATAACTCAGAGAGGCGGGAAGAACGCACTTCAAGTGACGAGCTTCCTAAGCTCCTCCGGTTCCGAAGTTTCCCTGTGAGCTCATCACTACTGCCCACTGAGTGCTTCGTTTGCAAATAGAAACTAAGAAGGAAAAAATTAAGTTCCAGCCTAGGTCTCCAAATAGGGGGTCCCTCACCTAAAGTGGGCGGGCAAGAGGACTGCCAATGTATCGGCTACAGTCACTTTCAAGTTTCCTGCAAAAAGTGAAGACCAACACCCCAACGAATGACTCATCTGGGGGCTTTGTAAGCGGACTTTGTTGGCTCTCTCCACTTTCCGTCTCCCCCACTTGGTTGGAGGAAACGTTCGAGGTGGCTCGAAGAGAGAGAGAAAAGCGCTCCGGAGAAGGTCGGGCCTCCCGGAGTCCCGGCCCCCACCGCTCCCCCCGCCCCGGCCCGGCGCGGCCGGGGGATTCCCCGGGCTGAATGGGACGGCGGGAGAGCTGGATAGAGGGAGAGGGTGGCAGCTGCCAAGGCTCGGCAGAGGCTTGGGAAAGACAAAATGTAAATCCAGTAAAAAAGTTTGGGGAGGGGACACACACAACACCCCCCGACTGGGTAAACACGAGAGGGGGCGGCGGGAAGGGGGAGTGGCTGGGAACCCAGGGATACCCGCTATTCGCGGGGATGGGGGGTCAAAAAGTCAACACACACGCACAAAAAGAGGAGAGGAAGGTGAAAAGGAGGGAGAGCGAGCGAAAGATAGATGAAGTGGGGGGGGACTCAGAGTGGAACCTGGGGACCCCCCTCACCCCACGGTGCGGGCCCGGGCCCGGCGCGCCGTGGCCGAGCGGCCCGCGCTATCCAGCGGCCCGGCGCCCTCCTTTCTCTGGGCCGCGGCTGGTGACAGCGACCGGCCTCCTCCCTTCCCCTTCAGGGCGGGAGGGAAGGGTGTGTGCGTGTGCGTGTGTGTGCTAGGGGGGGCCCGGGGTTCACCCCGAGGCCTGCTCTCTCCCCCGCACCCCGTCAGGCCGCCTCCTTTCACCTCAGCAGCCCCGCTCCGCCGGGGCGGGCGGGCGGAAAAACAAAGGGGGATTAAGGCCGGGCCGGAGAGCGGAGCCGGGAGGGAGGGGAGGAGGAGCGCCCGCCAGCCCGGGGCCCGGCCCCCCTGTCCCCCCCGTGCCCCCCCGGGGGGGCCCCCAGTACCTGGAACAGGAACGCGGTCCAGTTGGCCTCCATGGCTGCGGCGGCCGACCCCCCTCCTCCCCACTCCCCCCGCTCGGGGAGCCTCCTCAGCCGGAGGAGGCGACAACAAAGCGGCGGCGGCGGCGGCGGCGGCAGCGGCAGCGGCGGCTCCTCAACATGGCAGCGCCGAGCGCGGCCACTTCCGGTAACCTCCGGGACGCACCACCGCCGCGGCGAGCGCGGGCGGGGGGGGAGCCCCGACCCGGCCGCCGCCGCCCCCCGTTGCCCGGACCCCTTCTGGGCGTCCCCGTTGCCGGTTCGCCGCCTCGGAGCTCAGCCAGTGCCTGCCGGCGGTGGGGTCAGGGCCCCCGCGGGGGGGCTGGGGTGGGGCCGGGGGCGGGGATGGGGCGCGGCGTCCCCCCCCGCGGGGGTGTGTGGTGCTGCGGTCCGTGGCTCAGGCAGCTGGAGCAGGGGGAGCTCAGGAGAGAAGATGGAGGACGCCAGGGTCTGGCGCTGGGTCTCTGGGCACGGCAGGGCCGTCTCCCGTGACTCAGACACGGTGCCCGGCAGCGTCGCGTCCCTATCAGACCCTTAACGGAAGGCACAGACCACGGCGGTCACGGCTCTTCAGTCCCTTATGCGCAGCACAGCTCCCACTTCCAATTTGGGAGAAGCCCCTTCGACTTCGAGCATCTCTGCCCTCGGGTATTTCATCCCAGCTAAACCTTCCGCACTCTCGCTGTGCTATGCATCTGAGTTAGCCTTCCAACTGAAGCACGGAATCCCACTGGGGTGCAGCCTCAGATCCTCCCAGTGCTGAGGGAAACACTTCCCACGCGTAGAGATGTCATTACTGGGTTATTCTTGGGTGAAGGGCTGAGCTTCCCTATCCTGCCCTTAACTCCACATATGATGGGAAATTGTACCCGAACATCCCCTCTCCCGCCAAAAAAATAAAAACAAGTGTGAAAGTATAGAGAAGAAATTATTTTAGTCCTTTAATATAGTCTGCTTCCTCACCCCACCCCGCCAAAACAAAAATCGAACTTCTGGTTGGACTGCATCAGATGTCACTGGGGTGACCCCAGCCTCTGTTTGCAGTTCCAAGGCTTCCGTGTAGGCGTCACTGCTACTGAAACTTTGCATGACGATGTCCTGAACGTTTTCTAGCTTTTCCTCACATAGAGGTAGCTACTGGGAATATTAGAGACAAGCTATTATTAAACAAGTGTCTCCAGTCCAAGAAGTCTCCTCGGGCAGGAAATGAGGGGGCAGGCTGTATCAGTGATATTTTTATAAACTCTGGTTTAAAAAAATTCTTCAGATGGTCACATTATTTCAAGACTTTAACATCTTTCATAACCAACTGTCTCTTATCTCATCCCCTCCATTTATTCCTCTGGAGCCACATTCTAATCAAGGTCATCATCTCCAACTTCCCCCATACATACACAGTAAAAATAATATGGTTTCGGAATTCTATTAGTAAAAGAAACTGAAGAGGTAGAGTAATTTGACAGTCTATGTTTCCTTTCCATCCACTACACATGTATACCCCCTCCCACTCTTTCTTTCCCTCAGTCACCAGAATGAAGGAGCTAGAAAACGTTGGTCTGGTTCCTTTTAGAACCCTAGTGGATACTGTCTGGAGGCCTTGGGACAAACAAGAAGTTCTGCAGTTTGGATCAGTGGCAGAAGCAGGTAACACATCAGGGAAACGGTCAGCCTATGACAGGAGGGGACAGAAAATGATGAATAGTTTCTGATACATTCCTCAGCTAAACTGCTACAGTGGCCCCTATGTCTCCTATAAATGTCCATTAGTCTCTTTTGGAAAGAAAAATAAAATGGTTTAGGAAGCCTAAGTTTATATATACATACAAGATATGGAGAGAACTAAGATCTAAACCTAAGGAATTAACTAGGTAAACTAAAACCTTTTTGCTCTGACCTTGGACACTGCATATTCTTTAATTTTCATTCAGTGAATGCAAGTCTCTGCTTCTTTCCTGCCTTAACACATTCACTTCAAGGTCTCTGTAATTCACATCCTCAATTTTCCTCCTCCCCTGTATAGACTCCTACTTTGCTGCCTTTCAAAGTGTATGAAAATGAAGCTTCAGAATTATGAAGATTACTACTTAATGAAGACCATTATTCTAATGACAATATTGCTAGACTCTCTTGAACTTCTTATCCCAGGATCTAGACACTCTTCTCCGGCAATCTTTCTCACAGCACCTCTGGAGAGGGGTTTCCCCACTAACGGGAAGTAGAGGTCAAGTGAAAGCAGTCCACTTCTCATAACTGAAGAGCTGGGATTCAGAAGTATCACTTTTCTTGAGAAAAATGGCTAATTTTGTCTCTATTCATGAGAGGACACCAGAATTTCTGATTGCTCCCCAAACCCTCTGTTAAAAAGAAAAATTAACCACCTTTTACATTCAGATGAAATTTTAGATCTTAGGATGTTTTCTCTCTAGAAAATATCAAAAAGTTTGGAACAAGTACTCAAAAACAATCAGCTCCAACTGTTTGAGGAATATAATGAAACCAGGAAGATCAAACACTCCATCCCTAGAAGGGGCATTTCTACCCTTAGGACAGACAATATCCTTAACCACAAACAAAATGAGCCCCTCCTCAAGTCAGCTTCCACAGACCATGCTGCGGTCCAGTGAAAAGCCCAGGGATGTCTAAAGACAGTAAATTCATCTTGATCATTGTAAACAACTTTCAGCGAATGAATCCATGGTGTTACCTTCAGATATGATGAATAACTGAAATGTCTGGTGTCAGCAAAAAATACAGTGTGACTAAATCCTCATCTCAGTCTCAGTTTCCTCATCTAGAAAATGAGGACAAAAGAAATACCTATCTCACAGGGGTGACTGGTAGATTAAACAAGAAATGTGTAAAATGCTAATAACATTTCCTGGAATATAACAGGTGCTAAGTAAATATTTTTATTGGTGCTATTGAGTGGTTCTAGATTAACTTTGGGTTTGGGAACTCTGTATACCAGCTCTGAGCCAGTTAATTATTTCTCTCACTTTCTCTCAAAGTGACAGATTTTTCCCCAGGCCCCATCCCTCTCTTCCTCAAAAAGCCCTAAGGTAAATGGCCGGAAGGCTAATGACACATGACAAAGGAAGATGCCTATCAAGATCAGCTTTTCTAAAGACAACTTTTAGCAAACATTAGAAAGCAATAGGAGGGGTCAGTCCTGTGGAGCAAGCAGTTAAGTGTGTGCTCTCTGCTGCGATGGCCCCAGGTTGGCGGGTTCGAATCCCGGGCACATGCACCGATGCACCGCTTGATAAGCCATGCTGTGGTGGCATCCCATATAAAGTGGAGGAAGATGGGCACGGATGTTAGCCCAGGGCCAGTCTTCCTTAGCAATAAAAAAGAGGAGGATTGGCACTGGATGTTAGCTCAGGGCTGGTCCTCCTCACAAAAAAAAAAAAAAAAAAAGCAACAGGTTTCCTTCCTATTTTGAAGAGGATTTTAAAATCCTGTGAGTACATTAAGGATTAAGATTAGATTTAGAATCCTAGGAATAGAAAGCATCTCTGCTGTTGTCAATTACCTGTCCCCAAGTAACACTGCTCAACCAAATCCAAAACCTTCAATAGAGAGTATCTAGTTAGAAGAAGCTTCAAATCGATAGTTAATGGATTAACTCTTCATGCAAAAAAGCTATAACAAATGTAGAAATACAAAAAAACAGTGGCCAGAGAGAAATATTATCCTTCATTACTAGCCTCAATGCAATTAAGGAGAAAAGAAGCACGGTCTATCAGACCAAGAGGAACAATCATCTACCCCCCCTCCCCCCCCCACCCCCCCCCTAAACACACAAAAACAACCAAGCCTCTTTGGGAGGAAAGCAGAAGTAATCTCCCTACCTCCCTCCACTCCACCCCAAGCTCCATAACCACACTAAGGGCTTAAGCCAATTGCCTGTGGCCCATGTGGTCAGAAGTTGGGTTTGTGTTTCAATTCTACCACCTAAAGTGTCATGACCAGTTATTTCTGTTTTAACTGGTAAGGTGAGGAAGGGGAAACAATGAAGAATTTTTTTTTTTTTCCTGAATACCTATTTTAGTTCCTTGACAGCTATAATATAGTCACAGAGAACAAAGGGACAAGGAATAAATCTACCCATTTTCCTAGTAGACATTTAGTTCAACTGGTAGTTGAGGGTTCTTAAACACTCTATTGTTTCCAAGAAGGGTCACATACCCAAGATGCCAAAAACAAGTCCAAAGCCATGGAAACACATTTATCACCTAACTCTTCTTGAAAGAAGCTGCCAGAAGTCAATGCTAAACCTATCAGTTCCATCCACAAAGCATTTGAGTAGAAATACTGAATTCCATTTTACAGCTCCTGAATGGCTGACAAAGGACAGCCAACAAATAGCAAGCAAAACAGCATAAGACACAAGAAGGAAAGAAACTAAGACAGGTCAAAAATACACCAAGTTAGAAATTCAATACAACTGGAAAACATACTCTCAGGCACCACCATTTCTCCTTTGGACACCTGTTCCTCCCTGCCCTCAAATGCCCCAGGCCCAGGGTAATAGCTGAGCTTGAAAAAAAAGTTGATACTTAACAGGTCATGCAAATTTGGTGGGCCTGAACCAAACTACAAAGCTTAGCCCAGTTACAACATCATGCTAATAGCCCAAAACAAAAATTAAATCCTTATAAAAACAGTTATTCTGGTATAGAGGTAAAGTTTTTTTCAGTGGCTATAGCCTCCACCCCAAATACATTTCACTGGTTGAGAGAGGGATGTAATGACACTAAACAGCATTGTGCTACCCATCTGCATTACCAGGTAGATGAAAAATGCTATTCATTTGCAAAAAAAAAAAAAAAATTACTACTTGTCAATGTTTGTCCAAATGTTCTTGTGAACTATAGAAGCAGAGCAAAAACACAGATATATCAAGTAAATACTCTTTACCCAAACTCCAATAGAAACATCTCTTCATTTTCTTCTTCATACCACATTTGAGGATAGTCCAGATTTCAGGAAGGATTCTGCTTCTCAGAAGTCTCCAAAGAGTTAGCATATTAATACATGCAGATTTTACGGCTGTCTCTTTCAGAGTCGGTACTCCTTCCTCTCCCTCTCATTTGCCTAGATTAAAAAAAGCCTCAGTGGGTCAATCTGATCTTCAACTGAGGATCCCTCATTCCTGGTAGTGAAGGGAACAAAGAATAATGAAACAGGTGTTGAGGAACCTATGCAGTATGTTCCCTGCGTGAGGGAAGTGAAGAGTGGTGACCTAAGACACTGATGTGACATCACAAGACTAGCTAGACTAAGCTTTAGGAAGAATTCTAGAGCAATGCCAAGAGATGGCAACACAAGGCCAGGACAGCATAAGATCTGACTAAGGCTCCAGGAGAGGGAATTAGCTCCTTTAAGGATGTTTCTTGACCCTGAGAACAGTCTCTGAACTAGAAGTTACCTAAGGTTCTACAGTCATCTGGTCCCGGCATAAAAGCAGGTGCAGGGACCTGGCAGGCTGGTTGTGAAAGCTCTACACAGGGACAACAGCTGTACTCAACACTTACTCCTTAAGCTGTGAATAAAACATCAAGTCTACCTGCCACCCACAACTACTACTTGAAGCATTTCACTCTTGGTTGCCTGAGCAGTGGCAGCAAGCTCTTTGCTAGACCTAAAGAAAGAGCACCAGAATTCCTAGAGGGCAGGACAGATTTTGACTTGATGAACAATTTACTATGGTACACAGGAAAGATGGGTCAGATTCAGAGAATCTAGATTTTTCCTTTGAAGTAAATTTAGCCTCTTTAACAAAGCACACAAGGCTCTACTCAACTAGTTGACAGAAGTTAATTAGCCCTCTACCCTCAAGGCCTGACCCTGTCCTCTGCTAGCTTTTTGTTGTACTGATCTTACATAAGTCCCCCTCCCTCCTCAGCTGCCAGCTGTTTCCTCTTATTTTTCCAGCTTCCTCCCCCCCCACAACTCCCGGCACCTCTCCTTTCACTTTCTCTCCCCTTTCATTCAGCAGTGAATGCTCAGAGAGCAGATGGCAAGTAGTCAGTCCAAGCCAGTGAAAACGCTTCCTGAGCAGCAGGTATAAGGCAATCCTAGCAACAGGTATTCTGGGGTTGGGAAATACATTATTTCTGCCTTTTAGCAGTTTGCCCTTTAGATGGGAAAGGCATAATATATTTATTCCTCGCATATGAAAGAATATCTTCAGACCAATTTATTAAAACTAGATTTATAATATGGGACAAAAAGAAATCCCTTAGTGATGCTTCTCAGGGACAAGAGGATTTTTTGTTTGTATTGGAACTGATAACTTTTATTCTTACAGTAATTCATCCAGTCTTCTACATAGTACCTTTAGCAAAACTCATGAAACCTGAGGAAGCCCTCATATATGTTCATACACAAGTTTATTTAGCTGAGGCAGTTACTCTGACAACTTAAGCAAAGCATATGGAAAGGTCCAAGTTGGTACTATAATCTGTGATTAGCCCTCTCACCAGAGAAGAGTTGAGAAAATTGAAAGGGAAGCTTGACTACTAGAGGTAGGTTTGGGACTTATTCCAGTGATTTCCTTAAAACCACAGGAATTTTGGGATGGAAACTCACCTAAGAAAACAGAGAGAGGGAAAAGGGCACCACAAGTCCAACATCTCCAATCAGTAATGTTTTCTCTAATGCAGTCAGTCTCTCCTGGTGGCTCTAAGAGCCCTGGTAAACATCTGGTCCTAGAAATACTGCATGGGTGATATTTAAAGAGAATCAGCTCAGATATAGCCTCAAACTCAGGCCATACTAATTCCAACCTAGAATGACATACTCAAGATTTTGAAAGGCCAGTAAGGACACTCCAGGGACTAACTTCGCAGTCCGTAACGGATTCTAATCAGCTTGAAGACAAAACAAAGACTTCCCTAATGTGGACTCTCTCCTTAGAAAAACAGCTCATGTGTAGAACTACCCCATATCTATGTATATGTGTGTAGAATTATGGAGGCTTTGCTATTTCAATAAGCAAATATTTATTGAGCATCTATTAAATACCAGAAAACCATATTATCATTGGGGATACTTTTAAGGATCTCCTCCAGTAGAGAAATCAAAACTTGAAATACTTATAGATCAGTTAGACATTTGTACAAAGTGCTTAAAGGGCAATGGAAGGAAGCAAATTTTTAAAGGGACTATTTGCTCTCTTTTATATGAAATATGAGACTTCATCTCATTGGTTCTCACATAAGTGATGGCTTTGACACCAAAGACTGTCATTTAGGCTTGCTGAATATCAAAACTGATGCCAAAAAGGCTGTATACTCTGGGCTAGGTGGAATGCAGACTTTTATTGCAATCTGGAAAGTGGGAAGTCACCACACATTGGCTTTTAAAAGTCATTTACCCAGAATGGTAAAGCAATTCAATCTGATTTTGTGTTGTGGGTCTATTTCACTAATACAAATTTGTGTAACCAAAACAAATGCAGATGTTTTGTAGACATTTGCCCGTTCACAGGGTCTTTTCTATGCCACTGTCCTTTGTGGGACTGCTGCCTAGTTAGAGTGGCTAGCCAGGCCCTGGCCGCTGTTATGACCTTCTGTGGACCCAGACTGACTAGTAGGGGTCAAGAAAGGGCAAGGGCTTCTCTGATGCTGGCTGTGCACTGCACACCGGAAAGCCAGGGAGCTAAGCACCCCACTTTCTTGCTGCTGGGCTCTGGGCCATGGCCACTGTTACTAGATTAACTCCTACTTGGAAGCAGCCCCCAGCAACCTGGATAATATGGATCAAAGACAGCACCATGGGGCACCCTGGTGGCATCAGGTGGATACTACAGGTGATGTTCACTTGAGTCAAAGACTTATTCTCCCCCTAACAACCTCCTCACTGGAAAAGGCAGGCTGGCTTTAAAAAAGCCATGTGGTAGTAAAATAAACAGGAATTTGTCACCAGAAGACGTGCATTCAAGTTTGGGCCTGTCACTTTAACATCTGAGCCTATTTCCTCAAACTGCAAAATGAGGCTAATACCACTTGAGGATTAAAATGAGTCAAAGTACTTCATAAAACAGTTAGCTACTACTTTCATTAATAAGGTATTTTTTCTATGTCCTTGCATTTTTTCCCCTCAAAACTTTTCATTAAGAAAAAAGGGCAGCAAGGGCATGAACCCTTAAAGTCACTACTTTGGGAATAAGCCCTATCACTTCTTGGCCTATTGGCTAAGATCCAGTGGGAATCTGACTGGAGGACCACACTACCTATCAGATCAAAGCTATGCGGTACACATGCCTAGTATTTCATGAATGTATTTAATCATAAACATTTATTAACGTGTGTGTACTAGCATACTGGGCACCTTCAAAGAAGTGTCAAATAGTTATCAACACAGTCCTTGCTCTCGATGAGTTTACCATGTAGCTGGGGGAAGTAAAACACATACACGTGAAACTAGACAGCAGCTTAAAGGCAACATGCAAGTGCATGCATTGTATGTGACACTATATAACTATGCTGACAAAAAGCAAAGCAGAAATACCATGCAATTAGTCCAAGAATGCTTAAGTTTTTAGCTGATCATGAGAGGGTGGAAGAATTTTTAACGGCAAAAGGAACATGATGCTTGTAGGATTTGGGTTATGTGTGTTAAATGTTTGCTGTCTCTTGGCTTTGAGAGAAATGCTTGAGCTAGTTGATCTTCCATCAGCCTAAGACCAGGGTTAGCGTCCTGGAATAATGTTAAGACTCCCAAACCAAAGAAATAATATACTATCCAGTTTCTTTATTTATGAATCCCTTCATGGATAACCACTAATACAAACGAACCAGAATGATTCAATCCCAATGAGAAATCTGCAGGACTTCTCACTGAGGCAGGACCACTAAAGTCAGAGGTGATTTAAGGCTGCTTCTGTAAGAATCAAGCTTAAGTAGGAATGATGGAAAAAGGAACTCAGGAGGAAGCAGCAAGATAGAGAACTGTTCTCCTCTTTAAGGAGACAATGTTATCAATTCTTGATGATCTGTACTGAAAGAAATGTGTACAGCTTCCAACAAAACTTTTTTTTTGACTTTATAAGACTGATTTTGGGGGCAAAATTTACTTTTCCAATTATACTTGGTTTAGGCTAGCATTTAAATTAATTTGTATTTTCTAGCTTCACAACTAAGGAGGAATTACTTGACGCAATGTTAGGATTAGAATTACTGTCTCTAGTAACCCACCCACAGATAACCAAGTTTGTGAGATAGGCTTCTACAGGAAGCCTTCTATTGCTTTTGAGGAGTACTAAGTTCTTTCCATCTCTTGTCAAGCAACATTAAACTGTGTCAGCACTGCATGTGGCCCATTGAGAAATACAAATATTACAAAAATTCCATTGGGTAGGAAAAATTAACACAACATCTTCAACAATAAGATGAATTGTGAAGAGACTGAACGTATCAGAGCTATTATATGGATTTAGAAACTTGCTTTTTATAGTTTCAGGAATAAAGTTTAACTTGAGGATGTCAGGATTTGAAGCCACAGGGTGATCGCTAAGTGGGAGGAGGGAAGGAGAGAAGTCTGAAAATATAAATACACAGAAGCAAAACCAAGCATGTATTTACCAGATCAACCAGAGCAGGGGAAGATGTGATTGAAAATAGTGATAAATTGGAAAGGTAGACTATAGCCCATTGCTGATTCACATTAGGCGAGTGACATGTTTTAGGAAGATCAAACTTTATGACCAGGATGGAGACTGGAGTCATTGAAACCAGCTAAAAAACTTTAGTAATGAATCTGGGTGCACAGACAAGGATGCTCATATGGCAAATGGAGATGGGAGACAAATCCAAACAGCATTTTGAAGAACTCTACCAGGCAAATAAATCTCTAGTCTAGCTCAAGTCAGATACAGTGGCACTGTGGTTAAGAGCAGGTTATATTAAGTCATCAAACTGGACTATCACCTTGCTGCATGTTTACTCCCTAGTTTTAGAGGACAAAGGAGCCATTTTTAGTTTTCTTTGTTGTAGTGTCCTTGCTGTACTGCTAACCAATATTTCACATTTCTAGTATTAAGATGTGGATGTCACTCTTGGTTAATTTTGTAACTCATTTTTTTTTAAATTTTATTTTTTTTCCCCCAAAGGCCCAGTAGATAGTTGTATGTCATAGTTGCACATCCTGCTAGTTGCTGTATGTGGGACGCGGCCTCAGCATGGCTGGAGAAGCAGTGCGTCGGTGCGCGCCCGGGATGCGAACCCGGGCCGCCAGCAGCGGAGCGCGCGCACTTAACCGCTAAGCCACGGGGCCGGCCCTGTAACTCATTTTTTAAAATTATTTTTTTGCGAGGAAGACTGCCCCTAGGCTAACATCCATGCCCATCTTCCTCCACTTTATATGGGATACCGCCACCGCATGGTTTGACAAGCGGTGCATTGGTGTGCGCCTGGGATCCGAACCCGCGAACCCCGGGCCGCCGCAGCGGAGCGCATGCACTTAACCGCTTGCGCCACCGGGCCGGCCCACTCATCCTTTTTTAGTCTTCAAAAAAATTAGAAACACTCCAGCTCACAGAATGGAAAAATGCTGTTTTAATGTTATGTACAAACATTCAGCTTCTACTACACAGTAAGTATCGACTGAATAGGTATTTATTCCCAATTTAAAGATAGAAGAAACCCAGACCTATGTTTAATGGTTATTTATTCAAGATATTCAGAAAGAGAAATAATTCAAATTTCCAGGTTTCTCTTTCAAAGCAACGGAACTGATTAATTATCTTTTGAGTGTCTACTCAGTGCATAGCATTGTGCTATGTACCTGGGAGGAAAAAGAGGTTACGATCTGTTAAGAAAAGACAAGATATATAAACAACTCACTGATATCAAAGCAAAATGGCATGCTTTAAGATACAGTAAAAACACTCCTCTGTGGAAACGTTAAGGACCCATAATGCTCATTCAACTAAGTTTATTTAGTGACCATCATGTGCCAGACACTGTCTTGGTTCCTTAGAAAATAAATTCATCAACCAAGAAAGCTGAAGCAGATGGATAGAGCGAGCAACCTGGGTGACATATGCTATACTAAAGGTACATACAAAAAGTCTGTGCTAACACACCAGAGAGTGATTCTGCCTGTATGATAGCTGTTAGAGGAGTTTAGAGATTTTTGAGGTACTATTCAAGCACAGTTATCCTTCTCCAAATGAAGAGATGGAGGACACTGCTGGAATAAGAAATAGTAGGACCAAATCCAAGAAATGCTCGAGAATGCCAAGTCCTGGGATATGGAGTATATCAAGGGGAGGGCTAGAGATTAGAAAGGTAGGTGGGGGGTCACATTACCAAGGGCCTCATCTACCTAAGGAGCCTATCTTCCAGGCAATGAAGTTTCAAATAATTTTAGTGGGAAGGAAGTGACATGATAAATTTTTCATTTTAGAAAGATCACTCTAGGAAGAGTGGCTGGTGGAGACTTGGGCTTGGGGTGAGGATACTAATGGATTTCTGTCAGTTTGGCGTTCACTAACCATATCGCAGATGTTGTAACTCAAATTTCTAAGCACGCCACTTTAAGGGTAGAAGAGATTCAGCCCAGGACTTGCAAGTCCTATTTAAATGCTGTCTTTTGACTGATGTGGCGGTCCATTCCTAAGTATTAAACCTTAATAATTGCTGCAACCTGAAACCTTATCCCAAACTTACACATAAAGGCTCCCCTAACACCCAGCACCTCAGAGTACAATTCTGCCATACTTCTGGAACTTCAACAATCTCCAAGTTTAGCCTTCTTCTACAAAGGGAATTAGGGATTTTCATTTGTACAATTTTGGATTTAGAGTTGCCTCTTCACAAGGTGAATTAAGGAGGCATCAGAACTAACATTTTTAGGATTAAAGAGAGGCATTATCAATCTAGTATACTTTCAGTACTATCAATCCAATTTGCAGCAAGGCTGCTAGTCAGCAACCACCTTCTGTGTAGCCTCACTTGCTGCATAAAATGTTAGTTTAGCAGTCAGGGTAATCTCTACTATGCAAACTTGCTTCTTTCTTCTCTCCTAGGAAAACATCTTTATCTGTCCTCTTGTAGTGTCTTCACTAAAGCAGACAAGATTTTAACATTATGTTTTAACGCCAACTGCACCCATACTCATTTTCTTAACTAAATTGGATCATCAAGCGGGCCTAGAAAACTTTAATATAGTCTTCTTAGTGACAATTTAAACAGGAGGCAAGTTTGTGTCCTTTACATTTTTGCAATGTAAAGTTGTGGGGAGGGGGTGATGCGAAGGACAAATGCTGAAGTTAACTCCCAATAATTTTCAGCTGAAACTAAAATGGTCTTAAAGTAAACATGACAAGAGAACTGTGTGTACTGACTTTTTGATCACAAGATACTCTCCCTACTTAAGCAAGGCTAGAGAATAGAAAAATATCAACAGCCAACCTGACGACGAGCAGCGTTTTAAAAC